ACAGAGAGAGACACACACAGACACAGAGAGACACAGAGAGAGACACACACAGACACAGAGAGACACAGAGAGAGACACACACAGACACAGAGAGACACAGAGAGAGACACACACAGACACAGAGAGACACACACAGACACAGACAGACAGAGAGAGACACACACAGACACAGACACAGACAGACAGAGAGAGACACACACAGACACAGACAGACAGAGAGAGACACACACACACAGACAGACAGAGAGAGACACACACACACAGACACAGACAGACAGAGAGAGACACACACACACAGACAGAGACAGACAGAGAGAGACACACGCACACAGACACAGACAGTGGAATACAGCCACTCCTTCCAATAGCAGCACCTCAAACCTCCCCCCAATCTTCCATCCTCACTCCCGCCTCACTGGCAATAACCACCCCTCAAACTTGTAGCTATTCTCCACAAACTAGCCCTGTCAGCATTGACAGGCTGTTCAACTACAGCAGCGTCACAGGCATCCTGGGCAGTATACCTGCCAGCGAGAATCAGCAAGTGCACAATCAGTAGTGTCGCAGCGCAGTGACACCACGTTTCTTCAGTATGGGGTAGAGTTTAGAGTTTACACAGCACAGACACCCCAGGAATAGTTACAGACACTGCACGGGGACACGAAGGACATGCAAATGATTGTTTAGAACCAGGGGCAGAACAAAATTGAAGGCATATCCCACCCCACGGTACACCCAGCCCCCAGGAGGTCCAGTCCTCATTAAAGCCCCACACTAAAGTCACCTCAAATGGTCTCTCTCTATTGAGACAGCAGCTCTATGGTCTAGTAAGACTATGGCCACTTCACCTTTAGGTCCAGAGTGAATCCATCACTGTGGCAGACTGCCCTCAGCCACTGAAAGACTAATAGAATTACCCAAAGGCAGGTGCTGGGGAACAAATGCCCTGTGAAGTGGCCATTCTCACTTTGGAATCCAAGCAGTGAATGGTAATCTAGATATTTTCTAGCCAAGCTGTTCGGAGAAGTTGCTACACACCTCTGAAGCAGGTAGGACTTGAACCCAGGCTGTATGGCAGTCTGTCCCACCACCAGAAGTCTCAGTGTTAAATCAGTGGTGACACGGAAATGCCAGATGGCACGACCCAATTCTCCTCTCATGTAAAAATCATCCTCCTGGTTAGGGATGCCATACCCAGCAACAGGAGTCAGATACCACAATAACCACTTGTGTATAATCACTGTACATACACAGCAATTTATTTTGTAAACTTTTTTTTTGGCTTAAGCCAGTACCAGTACAGCAGGCAAGATGTGATCTGTGCTGTGGACAAGGCTCTAGTATAAACAAGAGAGAGAGAGACCAGCAGTAATGAAGAGAACAAGAGGCCATGACCAAGAGAATACAAGTGAGCAAGTTGAAAGAGAAAACACAAGGGTAGCTTGCGTGGGGATGTCTCATTGTGATTTGCTGAAATGAAGTGCAAGAGCTGGTGATCTGTGCGAGAGGAGCGAAGGGATCAAATAGGAGTCAGCACAGCCAAGCCTGTTAGCAATGAGCCAGGGTCAATCAGAGGTCACCTCCAACACAGAGCAGCTTAGCCTTGCACACTTCTGTATGTTCCCCTCCCAGATATCTCCATCCACCTACCCACCCCAAAGTATTGAGCGAGTGACACCGTCAGTATTGGGAAAGGCAGTTTCGTTTGCAGAGTGTGTATGGGGATATACAATAGGATATCATTTTGAGTATTTAGCTCAATTACAAATCTGGGAAGAGTTCACGAATATTTAAACCTGGGCACAAGCCTGTACTTGGGTATAGCCAATAATATCACACAATCATGTTGATTTGATAATTACAAAGGAAGGCTCCACTTTGATCTTTTTTCTTTTAAAAGGGGGAGGAAAAGTAAGCAAAATGTAATTAATTATCATTGCAAAAAGGAAGTGAAGGACAGATCTTTACAACAGTTGATTGGATTACTTTATCTTGGGTATAACTAGTGCCTAACCTAGATGGGCACTAGAATGGGGGAGTGGGGAGAGATGTTGTGAACCAGTAAGATATTACAGCCAGGAACGCTGGAGAGATGTTTACAATTGATCTCAAGCTCCAGAGTTTGAGAAACTGAGTGCGGCTACTGTTCAAGTCCGGGTCACTATTCTTCAAACCTGTTCTTGAGAATGCATCCACTGGGCCTGCAATGGACCACATTTGGTAAAACAGCCTTCCAGTTTCGTACACAGGAATAGCTGTTCCTGGCGAGCTGTCAGGGGCGATGGGAGCCTGTAGGTCACTGGAAAGAGCCAGCACTCTGGGAGCATTCGGACACTGGAAATCCAACAGACTAACTTCTTTCAAATATATAATTTGGAAAATAAATGCAATGCAGTCTTTGATGTACAGCAACAAATTCAATCGGAGTTTGAATGGGCTTTCCGGCTCGACAAGCTTGTGTTGTTGAGGTGTGACGGCTCTAATAAACAGTAAAACAGGTTGTCCCTTCCAGGTCAAAAGTGTGTGTTTGCAGAATGCCTTGAGTCCCACCTAACTGGCTAAAAATAAATACAGCAACATGCTTGCTGCTGGTGTCCTTTAAGGAAGGGTCTCACCAGGATCTGAATGAACCAGCTGCAGCCTGCATAGCACCCCCATGCACCCTGCCCAGCCCTCCTCCTATGCCCACTGGATGTGCGTTTCCTTTCTAAGTGGTAAACAAGATTAATGACATCAGCAGGACTCAGCTGACCTCCTGTTGAACCCAAGGCTGTGACTAAACTGCAAGGTGCTCCTCCAGCTATTCTAGCGAAACAGAGGCTTTTAAAACATTCAGCAAACTTTGTGGCACTGTCCCCGTTTCTGAGCCGGGAGGCCCAGGGCTCAAGTCCCACTTGGTCTGGAGCTGTACCCTGAGCAAAATAGACAGGAAGCACAACAAGCAAAACACAACACACACCAGCAACAAGAAACAGCAAATACAGACCCAGAATAGGGTAGAAAGTGAGAGGAAGAAAGAAAGAATTAGATACAAAAAGAGATACAGGGCAAAGAACAAAGTAAATGAATACAAAAGAACAAGAGATCTGGCAGAATTATGAAAGAACAAAAGCAATCAGTTTAGGAAAAAATTTGCTTTTTTTAAGAGATAGTAGGAACTGCAGATGCTGGAGAATCTGAGATAACAAGGTGTGGAGCTGGATGAACACAGCAGGCCAAGCAGCATCAGAGGAGCAGGAAAGCTGACGTTTCGGGCCTAGACCCTTCATCAGAAATGGGGGAGGGGAAGGGGGTTCTGAAATAAATAGGGAGAGCGCGGGAGGTGGATAGAAGATGGATAGAGAAGATGGGTGGAGAAGCGACAGACAGGTCGAAGAGGCGGGGATGGAGCCAGTAAAGGTGAGTGTAGGTGGGGAGTTAGGGAGGAGATAGGTCAGTCCAGGGAGGACGGACAGATCAAGGGGGTGGGATGAGGTTAGTAGGTAGGAGATGGGGGTGTGGCTTGAGGTGGGAGGAGGGGATAGGTGGGAGGAAGGACAGGTTAGGGAGGCAGGGACGAGCTGGGCTGGTTTTGGGATGCGGTAGGGGGAGGGGAGATTTTGAAGCTTGTGAAGTCCACATTGATACCATTGGGCTGCAGGGTTCCCAAGCTGAATATGAGTTGCTGTTCCTGCAACCTTCGGGTAGCATTGTTGTGGCACTGCAGGAGGCCCAGGATGGACATGTCGTCTGAGGAATGGGAGGGAGAGTTGAAATGGTTCGCGACTGGGAGGTGCACTTGTTTAGTGCGAACCGAGCGTAGGTGTTTTGCAAAGCGGTTCCCAAGCCTCCGCTTGGTTTCCCCGATGTACAGGAGGACACAACGGGAACAGCGGATACAGTATATCACACTAGCAGATGTGCAGGTGAACATCTGCTTGATGTGGAAAGTCTTCTTGGGGCCTGGGATGGGGGTGAGGTGTAGGGGCAGGTGTAGCACTTCCTGCGGTTGCAGGGAAAAGTGCCGGGTGTGGTGGGGCTGGAGGGGAGTGTGGAGCGGACAAGGGAGTCCCAGACAGAGTGGTCCCTCCGGAAAGCAGATAAGGGTGGGGAAGGAAAAATGCCTTTGGTGGTGGGGTCGGATTGCAGATGGCAGAAGTGTCGGAGGATGATGCGTTGGATCCGGAGGTTGGTGGGGTGGTACATGAGGACAAGAAGGATTCTGTTTTGGTTGTTATTACGGGGGGGTGGGGGTGTGAGGGATGAGTTGCGGAAATGTGGGAGACATGGTCGAGGGCGTTCCTGACCACTGTGGGGGGGGAAGTTGCGGTCCTTGTAAAACGAGGACATCTGAGATGTACGGGAGTGGAATGCCTCATCCTGGGAGCAGATGCGGCGGAGGCGAAGGAATTGGGAACAGGGGATGGCATTTTTGCAGGAAGGTTGGTGGGAGGAGGTGTATTCTAGGTAACTGTGGGAGTCGGTGGGCTTGAAATGGATATCGGTTTCCACCTGGTTATTGGTTATTACACCCATCCGGTTTGATGTGAGTTGCTGTTTCACTTCAAATGTTGAAAACTATGTTGCAACTTTGAGAAGCCCTGCAGCTACTATACACCTCCAGTTCCTATGTGCTTCAGGAATGCAATCCACTACTAGAATGGAAACACAACTCACATTAAAACAGACAGTACAGGTCCTCCATGTTTAGACACCAGCGTGCAAATCACTCTTGGGAGATTCTATGAGGCAAATCCTTCAATTAGTTCCAACATTTGCTTTCAACTGTGAAATCAAGTCATATTTTATAAGCTTGTATTCATACAGCATTTTTTCAGAACCACAATGTCTCAAAAGATTTTTGCTGCCAACGAAGTGCTGTTGAAGAGTAGTCACTCTTACAATGTAGACATCGGGGCAGCCAATTCATGCACAGCAAGAGCCCACAAGTAGCAATGTGATAATCAGTCGATAATCTGTTTCTTAGATATCGACCAAGGGTCAAATACTGATCAAAATATTGGGAATACTGCCCCTGCTCTTCTTCAAAGGCGCTTAGGAATCTTCTACATCTGCCTGAGCTTTGGTTTCACTTTTTTTTGATCATCTGTTGGAGGATATTACTGCAGGACAGATCACCGGATTAAGGGGAACTAATTATCTGAGGAAATTGAGCAAGGTCCACTTTTTGGTCTTTGAATGATATGGGGAGAGAGCTCGAGCTGGCAAGGCACCCCTCCAGCATCTCATCCAAGTGGAATGCTCCATGACCAGACGTGTAGTTTAACCCCTTCAGCACCAGCTAGTACCCTGGCTGACTGGCAAAAATGTACTTTCATTTCATAATTAGATCATTGCGACGAGGCATTTATTCAACAGGTACTCGAACTATAAACATATTTTGGGGGCCCCTAAGCAGTGTATGATACCTGACATCACAATCTCTGGTTTCTTCCTGTTAGGATTAATTTTTTAAAATGTTTGAAACAGCTGCATCTTCCATCACAGTGTAGACATTTTTAATCAGCCTTTTCAGGCGTGTTATGACAAACCTCTGGTGTAGGTAGGACTTGAACTCAGGCCTCATGGCCCAGAAGTAGGGACAGTACCACTGCACCACAAGAGCTCTCCCAGCGTGGGGTACACTGAGTATTATATCATTGGATAATAATCTGCCTGTTACTTGGGTGTTTAAAGATATAAATAACCTATTTCCTCTGGTGTGGTGAATTCAGAATAAAGGTTGAGGGTGGCAAGGTCACTTGTGTGAATATCCTTCGTGTTAAAGTGAGCTCATTCACGATATTAAACCACAGGGGAGAGGAAGTTCAGAAATCCCCCTGGTAAAAAAAATGAGGCCTTGGGAATTCAACATTTGAAAGCAGAGACTGCTCAATTTTTTTTTGTTAGGGTATGACAGTATCAGGGTGAGTAGATTAAAGTTGAAGGTAGAAATCAGATCAAACTCAGTGGGGCGGAGGGGGCCGGGGGTCCAGGTCCAATCAAACAGCTTCAGTGTCAAATGTGATTGAAGGAGGTTGTTGTTGTTTTAATCGGCTCTTGCCCCACAAAGAGACATCTTGCTGGTTTGGGCTTGCAGTGAGTGTGAACACCAAGAGCTGACAGGCGACACGGGGCTCTGCTGGCCGGGGAGTGTAGGACATCAGCACCAACTCTAAACTGATCTGACCCACTGTCCACCCACAAACTCTCTCTTCCACAGGGGCTGAGGGGAGTAACCTGGCAGCAGTGGGCAACAACCCGGCTGCAATTTGCATTCGTTTAGCACCAGATGCTGAATGCAGCTCCCTGGCACTGGAGATGCTAACTCTGCTGAACTGGCTGCAGACTCAGTTCAGAGCATTCGGGATAAAACCCGAGGGTTCCCGTTCTCTCTGCCGGCGGTGCATTCGCCCACCTCGCTCCACCCCAGTCATTTAATATCATTGGTTCTGGAAGGAACACTGGCCAGCGCATTTAAATAATTAAACATTGTGCTCTCCAAGGGGGCGGTGAGCTAAGTACAGCCCATATACAGGCTGCTGTTAGTGAAACGTCAGGGGACTCTCTTACAATACACACTGCATTAGCCTCGCTGCTAAATACGAGCAGAAATTAGCACACATTCCCTGCAATTAAATATGCCTAGATTTCTCTCTCTGTCTCTCTCTCTAAAAGCATAAGCGACGCGCCTATTAGCAGGTTCGGTGTCCGGAATAGCAGCTCCTCGGAGCTACATTCTAACAGCGGCACAAGTTAACAGCCAGAACAGCAATCCTCCCATTTTCAACACAACAGCCTTCAAACTCTTCCCGTCACAAAATTCACCGCCTCCTGCTGCCTCAAATGTATGTAAATATAATATTGCATGTGTAAGAAAAGTCTTTGGATTTTGGATAGAGCCAAATTCCAATGTTTGTTTGTTTCCTTGATATGCTACTCTGCAGAACCGAACTACGTCTGTGACTGTATATATACACATATTTTATGAATAAAGTACATATTTGAAATATAAAAAAATTCACCGCCTGACTCTCCATCTGCCCTACTGCAGGTTTTTAATCTCTTCAGAACAGACGGGATAAGCACAGTCCTGGCGGGGGGGGGGGGGGGGGGGGGGGGGGGGGAAGTGTTTGGGGGCTGAATTTGAGGACAGCCCTCTCCCCCATTGCTCTAACCCTCTGCATGGGGAAAATTTTAAAAAGATACACATGTCGTTTTCATTTTTTTAAAAAAGAAGATAGAAGCAACTTTCTCATAGGGCATGCTAACATTTCTACAGGACTAGTTCCAATCTGTGATCAGAAACAAAACCTTTGGGTCCCTGTAAAAGACACCCAACCCACAGCTTCCCCACCGCCCCCCCCACACCCCCATTCCTCCTACCCATCACCTACTGTTGTCTGTAAACAAAAAAAAATGCTGGAAATCACAGTGGGCCAGGCAACATCCGTGAATAGAGAGCAAGCTAACGTTTGGAATCTGGATGACTCTTCATCAGAGCTGACATGAAGTGATTTCCAGCGGGTTTTTTTTTGTTTTCAGTACAAATTCCAACATCTGCAGTAATCCGCTTCTACTTACTGCTGTCTCCCTCTCTCTCTTCACGAAATGCATTCACAGCATTTGAGAACTGCTCTGTGCAGCCTTACAATTCAGAAAGGGAGACACATACACACAACACACTCACCTTCCTCGCCCCTTGCTTGGCGAACTCCAGAGCGAGGTGGCGGCCGATTCCCCTGCCTCCCCCGGTTATGAGCACCGTGTCCCGGCTCAACTCCCTCGGTCTGGCCGGCAGGAGCAGCGACACGGCGGCTTTCACCACGTAGAAAACCATCTGCACGGGGAAAAGCAGGAGGGAAGCCAGGCTCCTCCAGTCCATCTGTGTGTTCATTCTAAAACAACGACACACAAACACACATAGGAGGAAAAAAAAGGGGAACTGCAACCGGTCCTCTTGCAAGTTTAGCAAAAAAAAGTTTTTTTTTCCTCTGTGCCCCCTTTTAAAGTGCGTGTTAATTTCACTGTCTCCTGTTCAGTCAATTTCACTTGTTCTTTCTAAAAGCCACGAGCTTTTCTTTTCAACATTTTATTTCTTTCTTCTGTTCTCTGTCCAGGATCAACCAAAGGTTAATGGTCGCAAGGCAATGAGCCACAGAAACATCCATATAAATAAAAGAGCTGGAAGCGTTTGTGTGTGTGTTCGAGAAGCCGCGATGAGTTTTTATACAGCGGGTCCATTAATCCTGATTGACGAGTCTAAATGTCGAGTGGGAGCTGATCCTCTCGGTACTATTGTGTGAAGGCGAGCCCTCAACCCACACCGCCCCCTCCCTCTCTCTGTGTCTCTCACCCTCCCCCTGGAGCCAGCCCGCAACAAGCCAACCTCTGCACCAAAACTGGAGGCTGCCTCTCTTTCTCTCTCTCTCTTTCTGTCTCCAACTTTGTATTCGCTCGCACCCAGCTCTTCCAGCTCTGCACAGTGCAGCAACCACTGAGGATACTCGTTTGCACAACAAATGCAATAATCTGGAAAAGAGACTGACAAACGTTCTGTACGCAGCAAGATGGTTTTGCAAATCATTTCTAATTTAAATATATGCAGGGCAATCTTCTCTCAGAGAGAGAAAAAAACACAGCAATGTGCAAGCGAAGACCCTGTTCCTTTAATTAAAGAAACATCACCTCCGTAACTGACGCAGCACAATCATACACTTTTCATAGTAATTCCATATACAAACTGCACGGTGATGTGGCTGGAAGTGGGATCGTGTAACTGTACACGGGCTGCAGTGTTAGCGCTCCTTTTAACGCTGCATACACTATACAACAACAACCTGCATTTATATATCTTGGCAAAGAAAAAGAAATCACAAAGCTCTCCGCGGGTGTGATATTCGACAACAAAGTTTGACACTGAGCTACGCAAGGCCAGATGTAAAAAAAAACTGGTCAGAGGTGGGTGTTGAGGTGTCTTAAGGCTGGAGGGGAGGGAAAGAGCAGAGATTTAAGGCTGTTGTAGCTGAAGGGACAGCCGTCAATGGTGCAATGTTTGAATTTGAGGATGATCAAGGGGGCAGAATTCCCAGAGGTTGGAGGAGATGAGAGAGACAGGGAGAGGTGAAACCAGGGAGGGATTTGAGAATTTTGATTTTTGTTTTCAAGAATTGACATTTCCAGCGTCTCTCAAATAGTTAAGGTGACTCCCTCAGATAAGATACGGGCTCGGTGGGTGTTGCTGGTTTGCCTGGTATGACCACTGTCAGTTTAGGTGACACCGCCCGATGAGCTGGCCCCTCGCGTTTGTTCATCTGGAGCCGAGGAGACGTTATCACGGACTTTCCCCAAGATACGTGAGGCATGCAGTCACTGCAGTAAGGTGTTGTGACTGTCTGTGAGTTATTGCGACACTGCTGTTACTCACTATTGCAGAAAGCACAATTTTTTTTTGAAAATAAAAGTCTGCCCAACATGTGTCGCAATGGAGAATGGCTGGCTTCGCTTGTAAAACCGGTACCTCCACCCATAGGTGAGTGACTCTGTGTTCATGATGTTCATTGTTACCCAGTTCCCCTCCACCACCTCATGACCCCCACGCCCACACCCTCCGAACCACCTTCCTTGTCCTGTGCTGAATGAGGCTGACACAGCAAGATTTTTTTTTGTCATTTTTCCTGAAGAAGGGTTCAGACCCGAAACGTCAGCCTTCCTGCTCCTCTGATGCTGCTTGGCCTGCTGTGTTCATCCAGCTCTACACCTTGTTATCACAGCAAGACGTTGGCTGGTTTTGGCTGATGTTGAAAGTGACTGCTGGAGGGATTAAGAGAGCAGCTCAGTGGTACATATCAGTCTGTACGTGTGTGTGTCTGTGTATGTGTGTGTGGATTCCTGCACAACTCTCTCTCCCTTGCCGTGTCTCACCTTGTCATTGTCTCCTGCCAGTTCCCCTTTGCTATCAGCTAGTGCCAATGCTCTGGCTTCACAGTAAGGCATCTTCTCTGGGCATGAACACCCTCTCCATGACTCCTCATCCCTGGGTTTTTTTACAGCTGACTTTCACAACCCTTCCTGATGAATCAGTGAATTGCAAGAGAATATGGGTCAAAGGTCAGAAACTGGCAACTCCTGCCTCGAACTTCAAAAAAATTCAGGGTGTGTAAGCAACATAAAACTAATTATCATTGAGCTCTGAGACATGGTGTTGTGGTCGGAGAATCGAAGCATTCCCAAGAGGGTGTTCGATGATTATCTAAATACAAGTTATTATTGGGGGAAGGCTTGAGCAAGTAATGAGGCTCACCTAGGAGAGCCAATTCTGACCCGATGGGCCACATGGCCCCCATTCTACACCGTAACAATTCTGTTGTTGTGTGAAGTGAGCGTTTGATTTGTCATGAAACCAATACCACAGCTGCCCAGTCTGCGTCTGCAGGTAATTCGCTACAGTTGTACAGAAATGAACGACTTGCTTGTATATAGCGCCTTCCACAACATCACCGTGCCCTGATGTACTCTACAGCCACTGAAGTCTTTCTGAAGTGTAGTCACTGTTGTGGTGTAGGAAATGAGGTAGCGAATTTGCACAAACTCCCACAAGCTGCTTTGTGATCATGACCAGCTAATCTGCTTTTCTGATTTGATTGCGGGATTGACCTGAACACAGGGGAGAGCACTTTTGCTCTTCTCCAAGACTGTGCCATGGGATATGCTATATCAGTCTGAGAGGACAGGTGGGACCTCAGTTTAACATCCCATTCAAGTTGTAAGTAGCCCAAGTGACCCTAGAACTCTACATGTCACATCCTTCATATTAGCCCTTGTGTTTTTGTATATGTCTCATTGACCCCAGCGATGTGTTTCTGCCTCTCTATCACTGACCTTTACCTCTACATCTACTTTAGGTTTCCCAATCTGGTTCCTGTCCAGTAACGACTTCCAAGATGTACAGTAGGATCTGCTTTCAGCACTTTAGAGGGAGCAATTTTAACCTAACTCGCTGGGTGAGAATAGTGATGGAGTTGGGTGGAATGCTGGTATTATGCTGTGTTGATGGACAGATTGACTAAGAGGAGAACAAAGAGATGGGAAAGACTTCCACACTGCAATATACTGCTTCCACCTGCTGGACCCTGGGCCCGTTTAGCTGCAACCATCAAGTAAACAGCAGTCAATTGGCATCTCTACTATTAGCCCTTCTTTCACATTGCAAACTGCTTGTGTTTTCATGTGGGAGAGGCAGGCTTGTGCTGCTCTCTAGTGGGCACATCCGCAGAGTTAGAGCTGCCTGAGTGCAATAGTTCTCAAAGTGAGGAGTCCACAGTGGTTGCAATCTGGTCTAACAAGCAATGTCCTGGCACTCAGGCTGAAACCAGAGGAGAGAACAGATCAGAGCCCTCATCCCCAGCTTCTCCAACCTTCTGAGGCAGTCCCCCAGGTTTGAGGGGTTCTGAGATGGCCACAGTCAGTTCTTGAAGGGTTCAGTGGATGGGTTGTTTGGAGATTTGTGTTGTTTCCTCTGACACCTCAAGTTTACCTCCCCTCAAAGTCTCTTGATGTGACTGGTGCTTTCCTCACTGACCCTTATCTTTACGGTCAGTCGTACTGTATCCTGCAGACTGGCTTCAAGTGATTAGGACCTCAATGCTGGGCAAATTGTCTTGGGAGAAACACTGCACGTAGACTGCCTTCTTGCACCTGGGTTTGGAAGGCACCTCTGGAGGTCCATATGCAGAGCGTTGGGGGAGCTGCTGCAAGTTGACCCAATCTCTGAAGCCTGTGGGAGCACGGGGGATCACTCTGCCCAGTTAAACTTAGCCTCAGTTCACAAATATTTATGCCCATAACTTGTGTAAGATGGGACAACTAGAGCAGCTCTCATGCAGGGCACAATGGTTATCAAGGGGACAAGCAACAACAATGTTCACAAATTTATGCTTGATTAATATGGATTTAAGTGAAGTACGTGATGACCTTTAAACAAGATTTTGGAATGTTTCAGTAAAAATGTTCCCTTGTAACATTCATTTAAATTTTAAACTGTCTATACTTCTGTTCTTATATGAAATAATGTCTAATTTGAAAGAATCTAGTGCACATACTTGTTTTGTTTAGTGGCCAAGAGGGGGCAAAATGTATAACTTCCCATCAATTCTGATGAGATTTTTTTTGTGGTGGCAACTGAAAGTAGGGGGTGGGGGCAGGATCACTAAGTGGTTCAGCCTATGTGGCCTGAAGGGGAACATTACAGTGTCTTAGTCCAAGGTGGCTCTCAATTGGTTCCAAATGCTGACAGTGGTTAATGTCAGGAAGAGTTTATCTTGCAGTTATAATGGGAAAGAGGGAGGCTGATAAACCCTGGAGGGGTTACTTCAGTTTGTCTACTTATAAGTCGAAACAAGTTTTATTCATTAAATGCACTCGTGGCATTCCACAAGTCTTGAGGAATCTCAGAGTTGAAAGAATGTCCTCCATCTTTTTCATCTTTCTCCAGAAGGTTCAGTCAATATAAGAAAGGAAAGGGTTTGCATTTATGTGGCGCCTTTTATGACCTCAGGTCATCCCAAATTGCTTTACAGCTAATTGCATAATTTTGAAGGGCAGCCACTGTTGTAACACTAGGGACACAGCAGTCAATAGGCATACAACAAACTCACACAGACAGCAATGAACATGACTAGGTAACCTGTTTTTGTGACATTGGTTTGAGGGATAAACATTGAACAGGACTTTGGATTTAATCCCCTGCTCTTTTTCCAAATAGGAGCCTTCACATCAATAGTAAACAAAGCTTACGTTTAATATCTCAACCGAAAGACATCACCTCCAACAGTGCAGCACTCTTTGAGTAATGCACTGGGGCATGACCTCAACCATTACACTCAAATCCCTGTACTGGGGCTTGACCTACCAGCAGAAAACCAGGAATTATGCCAACTGAGTGAAGGCTGCGATACCATGGTGTATAAACTGGGCTGCTAAATCACAACAAGCCCCTTCCGTCCATCTGATAAAAAACTGAAAGAACTGCAGATGCTGTAAATCAGGAACAAAAACAAAGTTGCTGGAAAAGCTCAGCAGGTCTGGCAGCATCTGTGAAGGAGAAAACAGATTTCCTCTGCCTGACGGAAGAGGGTGGAAAAGAGTAGAAAAGGTGGAAAAACTGTTTTCTCCTTTACAGATGCTGCCAGACCTGCTGAACTTTTCCAGAAAATTTGTTTTTGTTCCTGTCCATCTAATATACTTTCACTGTCATTGAGCAACTGAGACAACAAGTCCAGGAAGGTCCCTGGTTCAGTCTGGGATGAGGCGTCTGACTACTGTAACCATAATTTATATCATTGGAAACTTCGTCAGCACCTGGTGACCTGCTAATATTCACTGTCTCATTGTACAAACAAATTCAAGTTTACACACATGGAATTGCCAATTGTACAGAATGGTTCCCAACAAGAGGTTCCCCTCCCAGGAGAGGAACCTGAGGGAGATCAGATGCAGCCACCAGCGAGAGGAGATTTCTACCTCACCAGTTGGGGCTGGAATCAAACCGAAGCTGTGTGGTGAAAGAACTTTGTGCAGCCCCAGTCACACTGACCACTCACCTTCCACTCCATTCGTGGCCAGCACATATTCAGGTTGGGCAACAGCAAGAAACTACAGAGAGTTGTGAACGCAGCCCAGTCCATTACACAAACAAGCCTTCCATCCATTGACTCCATCTATACTTCCTGCTTCCTCGGGAAAGCGACCAACATAATTAACTATCCCTCCCACCCTGATTATACTCTCTTCCACTCTCTTCTGTCGGGCAGAGGATATAAAAGTATGAACAGATTAAAGAGCAGCTTCTTCCCTGCTGTTATTAGACTTCTGAATGGACCTCACAAATCTTACATTATGTTGGTCCCACTCTTTGAGCACCTTCTTTGCAGCTGTAACACTGTATTCCTCGTTCTGTTCTATGACCCCAATGCACTTTGTACGTTATGATCTGCCTGTACTGCATGCAAAACAAAACATTTCACTGTACCTAGGTACATGTGACAATAATAAATCAAATCAAATCAAAAGGTTTGCAGCTGGGTCCAAGTTAGGGTACAACCACCAGACAGGTATATTCTTAAAAGGAGAGAAAAATCTTGCAAGAGAATCTTCCACAATCTTAAGGACACAGAATGAGACCCCTCAGGCCACTATGCCTGTGCTGGCTCTTTGAGAGAGCTCTCCAGTTCATTC